AGAGACCTGCCTGAGGAGGGCCCTGCCACCTGGATCCAGGGTCTGGTAGGTTCTGAGCTTGAGGAAATGCTGTGACTCGGGCGTCCTGAACCGGTTTCACATCCTCTGTGCCTTTTCTGCTTTCTACTTGCCTTCTCTGTTTTCACCTTTGGGCTCTGTTAAGTTGGTTCCATATTTTTCTCTCCTTCCCCACTGCTCCTACTTGTCTTTCTGCCGTGGGGCAGCCTGGCTCCCCCTGGGGCAGGACCCTTGGCTGAGCACCTGGCGAATTCAGGCTCCGTGAGAGGGGTCAGTGTGTGTGGCTCATCTAGCCCGTCTTTCTCGGGGGGCGGGGGTCCAGCAGACCTCTCCCCTTGGCCCCTGGACAGTCCCCGTGCAGGTCTCTCCAGGAGGAGGCTTTGCTCAGATGTCAGGACGGCCTGAGTCCGCCGGCCCCAGCGCAGCCCTCTGTTCTCTCCTCAGTAGCTCAGAAGGCTGGCGGCTGCCCATATAGACCACAAGCCCGGTGCTTCCGATATGAGGCACCTGAGTGCCAGAGTGACTGGCAGTGCCCAAATAATCAGAAATGTTGCCAAGATACGTGCGGAATCAAATGCCTGGACCCTGTAACCCTCTCAAACCCAGGTGAGTGATCACAGAGCTGAGAAAAGCGAGAAGCAGAGGACACAGCCTTGTGGGCAGGTGGTCACACTGCCCAGACAGGACGTGACCCACCTGGTTGTGTCCACAGCCAGGTGGTCTGGCTCAGGAGGCAGGGCCTGGGGAAGGTGCAGGCGCTGACCCGTGCTCCACTCTCATAGTGACGAAGCCTGGCCAGTGCCCGGCTGTGCATGGCGAGTGCATGATGCTGAACCCCCCCAACCACTGTGAGAACGATGGCCAGTGCGTGGACAACCTCAAGTGCTGCAAGGGCATGTGCGGCAAACTCTGCGTTGCCCCGGTGACTGGTAAGGAGGGTGGGGCCCTCTGCCCCCACCTGCCCTGTTCTCAGACCTGTGAGGTCAGGTGAGAGAGTGGGAATCCCCGCTGATCCCCCAGTAAAGTCTCTGTCTCGCTGTCCTGTCCACTCCAATTTGATTAATCTGTCATTTGTTTACTTATCTGTGTAGCTTTGGGGTCCCCTGTTGCACCCCATATGTGCACACGATCGCTCGGCCTCCAGGCCGCAGGCAAACATGTCTATAGGATCACTCAGAGCTGCCCTCTGGTGCTGCCTCCGTGTGCAGGGGCCTGGAAAGGCGGCTTGCGTCCTGCTCCTTCACTGTGAAGTGGCAGAGTGAAACGAAAAGTGCTTTAAAAGCCCTGTTTCTGATACGGCCTCATCACTGTGGTCATTTCAGTCTCCACCATTAGGGTCCCAGTGTGTTGTACCAGTGGGTGTTAGGATAAACTAAATGCTGAGCTCAGAGTTTGACAGCGAGATGGAGCCCTGAACCAGGCCCCGATGGCCCGTCTCTGTCAGCTCCATCGTCACTTGGTGCTTTTTCTATTTCAGCAGAATCATCAAAAGGAAA